ATGAGTTTACCACCTTGTTCTTTTTTTTTTGAGTTAGAGTCTTACTCTGTCACCCCGACTGGAGTGCAGTGGCCGCTCCCGGCCACCGCAGGCTTGACTGCTGGGCTCTGGCAATCTTTCTGCCTCAGCCTTCCAAGTAGCTGGAACTGCAGGCACGTGCTACCACGTCCGGCTAATTTTTGATTTATTGTAGAGATGAGGTCTCGCCAAGTTGCCCAGGCAGGTCTCAAACCCGCGGGCTCAGGCAATCCACTCACCTCAGCCTCCCAAAGGCGTGGGATTACAGGCTGAGCCACCGAGCCCGGCTTCAATCTTGCTTCTTAATAGAGATTTTAAAACAATGAAAACCAAAAGACAGCTGGGGGCTAACTGAATCAGTATCTTCCTTCTCCCCTTCTATGGTATAGAAGAAAATTTTTTTGGAGATGTTAATTAAGAGACTTGTGGGTTTTTTGTTTGTTTGTTTTTGAGTTGGAGTCTCACTCCTTCACCCAGGCTGGAGTGCAGTGGCACGCTCACGGCCACCCTAGCACCTACCTGTGGGTTCCAGCAATCCCGCCTTAGCCTTCCAAGTAGCCGGAACTACGGGTGCATGCTACCACGCCTGGCTAATTTTTCTTTTTCTTTTTTTGTTTTGTTTGTTGTAGAGACAAGGTCTTGCCAAGTTGTCCAGGCTGGTCTCAAACCAGTGGGCTCAGGCAATCCTCTCGCCTTGGCCTCCCAAAGTGCTGAGATCACAGGCTGAGCCATCGAGCCCAGCCTTGTTTTCTTTTAAATAGCAGTTTGACCTAGCATTTGTGTAATTGATATTAACGGTAAATGTACAGAAATAACTAAAATTTTTTGTAAACTTGATTGTTCATATCACATTCTTTATAAACCTTACACATACCATTCTACGACATGCTTGAACACCATCTGTGTCCTATACTTTCTGTTAGGGTATGGACAGGGTGAGGATGGGTGAATGGATGGAGGAGGGGAGGGGAGGCACAACACCGGTTGTCAGGGTCCGGATAGGGTGGGGGTGAGATGGATGGAGAGGGAGAGGCACAGCAGAGAGGGGCGCAGGGAGGTGCAGCACCGCTGGAGCCAGCGTGCTGGAGGTGCGGCACTGGCAATCCAGAGATCCGGGTAAATGCAAAGAATTGCAACACACAAAGAGGTGAGAGAAGATAAGATTTATTTAAGAAAGTTTCACCCCCCCCCACAGACAGGAAGCGAGCCTACACTCTAGGTGAGTGTGGTGTCATATCCCCCAAAGCCCTGGCTTAAATCCTTTTCTTGGAGATGTTGCTTGCGACTGCTGTGACTTCCTTATCGACCACCTGTGGATGTCTTGGAGATCCTATGACACAGAGACCCGCTAACGTCCGCCCACATTATCATAGCCCCTAGAGAAGGGCATGACAAGGATTCGAATGTGCCTGCACCTTCCCAAATGACATTTGTTAGAGCGAATGGAGGGAACACCTCCCCTTATCTCCTAGGCATTCCCAGTGGGTAGCTTCGGGGGATCCTTGGCTTCCCTGTAGATAGTGCCCAATTTACTGGAAGATCGAATCCCCATCTGCTCTCCCTCTGAGCGGTCATAACTTTTGTCATTACAAGTTTCATGACTTTTACAATCCTTGCCCAATGCATGATGTCTTAGGCCTTGTAAATTCCCTTTACTCTAGGCAAGCTTGATTGCCGCAATGAGATACCTCTGACATCTGGCACCAGGAAGTCTGTTTCTGAAAAGACAAAATCGGTAAAGTTAATTTTACCTAAAGTGTACATTTCTCCAAAAGTATAGCTTCTATTTTCTCATCATTGCGTCAGGGTTTAAGAACAAGATGAAAAGTGGCTTCCCACTCTCGGTCTGTCCTTTCACTGGTAACCCAGAGATCTGAGTAAATGCAAAGAATTGCAATACACAAAGAGGTTAAAAAAAGGAAAGTTTATTTAAAAGTAAATTAGAGAGAAAAAGAGAAGGGGGAGAGAAGATTCACCTCCCCAAGGTTGGGGAGGGGACCAAAGCTAGGAAGCCTGGCAACAGCCATAGCTCAGAGTCTAGCAAGGCAATGGCCACTGGTTGTTTATGGTTGAGTCCTTTTAACCATTCCCCTAGATGGGGGGAAATCATTAAGGTGACTCGTTGGTGGTCTGCTTCTACATCATCACAAAGAGGCAGACAAGTGCAGGTACTGATAATGTCAGGTGATGGACAGCAGGCAGATGGGTAGGTTAGTCACATGATTACTGCCATGGTGGAGCTTAGGTTAACCCTGGAGGGGGAGGATTTCTGCAAGAGACTTGTTAGATATTTGCAATTCACAAACTCAGACATTTGCAACTCATAAACTCCTTGACCATACTGGTATTATTACTTTTATGACTTTGGCCAGCCAAAGGGTGATCTTTGATCTTTGGCCTTGACAAGAATCCTAGAAGTTTACTAGAGATTATTATGCTAAATTATGAATGGTTGGGCTGTGCGGGTCTTGTATCTGAAGGAGATTTGCCAAGGGATAGGCTGCTGCTTGTTTTGCAGTAGAATGTTTGAATGCTTTCTAATGGTTATGCTAAGGCAAAAAGACTAAACCCCTTTCACTTTCCTCCTCTTTAACCAGTAATTTTATTTCAGAACAACAACTTACCATACAAGATTTTTTTTCCCCAAAATTATTCTCTTTTCTGCATATTCTTTCTTAACAAAAAATATACTTATATACTAACAACTTTTTTTACATCTTTGCTTTCTGTTTTTTAAACTTATTATAGATTACTTTTTACATTTAAAATTGGAATTAACCTTTTAGTAACTTTTGACTAAGACAAGACAATATATTTTAACATGGATGGCTGGGACCAAACAGCTGGCACCTGTGTTCATTAAGAAATTAATTTGGAGCCGGGCTCGGTGGCTCAGCCTGTAATCCCGCGCTTTTGGGAGGCTGAGGTGAGTGGATGCCTGAGCCTGCGGGTTCGAGACCCACATGGGCAACTTGGCGAGACCTCATCTCTACAATAAATCAAAAATTAGTTGGGCGTGATAGCACGCACCTGTAGTTCCGGCTACTTGGAAGGCTGAGGTGGAAGGATCGCCGGAGCCCAGCAGGGAGAGGCTGCGGTGGCCGGGAGCGTGCCACTGCACTATAGCCTCAGTGACAGAGTGAGACTCCAACTCAAAAAAAAAAAGAAATTAATTTGGGTTCCTGTGCCCTAATATTCACCTGGAGGCTGTTAGGGTGGTAGTAAGCTAGTGCTGGACACTTTAGTAGATTTTTCAGACCTCCTCAGTGGCCACCATTTCTAAGCCATGTGCTTTCTCTCCCTGTTCCCCAATGGTTCTGCAACCTGTACAGTGGACAAGGTCCTGGAGGTATCGGCCTCTTTGGAGCAACTATTTTACCCATAGCAATGGACACCATCCCCTTAGCAGGCTTGTTCTTACCAGGTCTCTATTGGGCAGTTGGAGTTTTGTCACTAATAGCAACTGCCAATTGGAATGCCTGTTTTTGGCCCTTTGGTTCTGCCACCTTGCATGTTGACACCCTTTTTCGTCTCTAATGTCTCGGGTGAAAACAAAACAAAAACAAAAACAAAATGTCAAAAGTTTTCTTGTAATTGGAAGCTTGGTACCTATAGTTTCAAGTCTAGCTTCTAGAGCTGGGCATTTAATACTCTATAGGATATCATCTTGTTTGCAAAGTAAAAAGGATATCTTTTCTTGAAATTACTTTTGCTCCTTGGTTAAATATCAGTTGGGCATCTTTGTGTGGTTCTATTTCTGGGTTCTCTGCTCTTTTCTATCCATCTATGTGTCCATTTCTCCACCAATACCACACAGTCTTGATTACTGTAGCTATTTAATAAGTGTTGGAGTCATGTAGAGTGATTCCTCCCACTTTCTTTTTCTTTTTTTGAAAATTCTTTTAGCTCTCCTAGTTCCTTTGCCCTTCCATATAAATAATCTTGACTACACCTCCAAAAAAAGTCTTGCTGGGATTTTGACAGGAATTGCGTTAAACCTGTATGTCATTTTGGGGAGAATTGACATCTGTGCTGAGTCATCCAATCCTTGAATATGGTTTGTCTCTCCATTTATTTAGGTCTTCTTTGATGTCTTTCCTCAGTATTGTACAGTTTTCAGCATATAAATTCTGTTCATGTCTTGTTAGATTTACAACTAAGTATTTCACATTTTCTTTTTTTTTTTTTTGATTTGGAGTCTCACTCTGTCACCCAGACTGGAGTGCAATGGTTGCTCCCGGCCACTGCAGCCTCAACTTGCTGCGTTCCGGTGATCCTTCCGCCTCAGGCTTTCAAGTAGCTGGAACTACAGGTGCACGAGACCACACCCGGCTAACTTTTTTTTTTATTTATTGTAGAGATGAGGTCTTGCCAAGTTGCCCAGGCGGGTCTCGAATCCGCGGGCTCAGGCAATCCACTCACCTCGGCCTCCCAAAGTGCTGGGATTACAGGCTGAGCCACCGAGGCCGGCCTCACATTTTCAATGATTATAAACAGTACTGTGGTTTTAATTTTGGTGTTCAAGTTTTTGTTGCTACTACATAGAAATACAAGTGATTTTTAGTTTTCAGAGTTAACTTCTTTCTTTTAGATACCTTGAAATTTTCTTTGCAGGCAATCATGTCATCTTTATTTTATTTATTTATTTTTTTGAGTTGGAGTCTCACTCTGTCACCCAGACTGGAGTGCAGTGGCTGCTGCAGCCTTGACGTGCTAGGTTCCCGCAATCCTTCCACTCAGCCTTCCAAGTAGCTGGAACTACAGGCGTGCGCTACCACATCCGGCTAATTTTTAATTTTTATTGTAGAGATGAGGTCTCACCAAGTTGCCCAGGCAGGTCTCGAACCCGTGGGCTCCGGCTATCCACTCACCTCAGCCTCCCAAGGTGCGGGATTACCGGCTGAGCCACCAAGCCCGGCTCCAAACCACATTTTAAGGCCTGGTTTCCTTCTTGGGAATTCTCACCTGTACACCTGCTTCATTCACTCCCACCTACCTGGACGTTTGGCTGCTGTCTCCTGTCGCTCCAAATTCCAGGGCTCTTTGCTTTGCTCCAGACAGGTAATCATGTTTGGTGTAGACACAGCAAGACCTATTTTATTAGAAAAAGGTAACACAATTATTGCTGGAACTCCATCACCAACCTAGTACTGTGCTTAGTAAAGAGAGAACATTGCACGAGATCACAGAAAATTAATCTCAAAATACTGCTTTCTTATAGACACTTTAAATGTGTGGGTTCTTAGCTCCACTACCCAGTACTACTGAATCAAAAATTGGTAGTAAAAATTTAATTTTAATGTGTTAGCAGACTGGGCATGGTGGCTCAGGCCTATAATCTTAGCACTTTGGGATGCCAAGAACAGAGAATTTCTTGAGCCCAAAAGTTTGACACCAGCCTAGGCAACATAGTGAACTATCTCATCTCTATTAACATAAATAAATAAGTAAAAATTTAATAATTAGCTAGGTTTGTAGTCTCACTACTCAAGAGGCTGAAATGGGAGGATTGTCTGAGTCCAGGAAATAAAGGCTGAGGTGAGCCATGACCATGCCACTAAAGTATAGCATGGGTAAAAGTGAGACCCTGACTCAAAAAAGAGGGGGTGAGCAACAATAACTGCCACTGAATTTCTAGAATTATCACTAGACTGAAGGACACAGATCAGCTCAAGAAAGGAAAAGTTTCAGGTCAAGACAAAACATCCTGAAGATTTTCTTTTCTATACCAACAAATCCCTAAAATTTCCTTGAAAGCAGTGATGTGAAACTCATTCATGCAAAGAATAAACTCCCAAGAAAACTTTCTGCAAGGGAAGGAAATAAAATCCTTACTGTGAAATACAAACTGTGTACTGAAGTTATCCTCACCCAGAAAGACCAGGTTTCTGTAGGTCTCTAACATCACATCCCTATACAACTTCCTCTGAGCAGGGTCCAGGCAGTCCCATTCCTCCACAGAGAATTCTATGGCCACATCCCTGAATGTCAACAATCCCTGAAAGAAAAACAAACAAACATATTTACCAAGTGGCCATGGGCAGAATTCTTACTTCAAATCCAGGTGAAAAGAAAGTGAAGAGAATTGGTTCTGACTTATATAAGTGACTGGAATTATTCAATAAGACACTTTTTAAAACAGAAATATTATCTAATGTATCCCTAACTCGGAGAAAAGAGGATGGCATAAGATCCACAAAACCAGTGTAGATTTGACACCACAAGTAGCTAGATGTCAACCTAACAATGCCAGACACTAGATACTATACCTTATACCCTATAATTCAAAAATGTCTAACTAATCATTAATCAATGTTATTTCTGTGAACCAATGAAAATTCCTGACAAATAACTATGTATTGGCTCACTCTTTGGCCCTTTTTGCCTTTAAAAACCTGCTTGAAAGAAACACTAAATGGAGCTCATAACCCTTGGGTTTGAGTCCTCCAGGCTTGGCTCAAGTAAACTCTAAATATTTTGTGCCCCAGTTTCTGCCTTTTGATCAACAAATGTATAAAGCTTTAGCACTTGGAGACAAAATCAAGAATGACTTTGCCAACAGCATCAAAATATAAACCTGACACAAGTCAAGTCCCAAAAGAGTGAAATGTGTGAGTACATTGCGTGACCACACCCTAAGATAATAGCCTGTGTGCAACAGACAGTGGTAAGAAAACCACAAAAATTCTAGCTGGGCGTGGTGGCACACATCTGTAGTTCCACTTACTTGGAAGGCTGAGGTAGAAGGATAGCCTAAGCCCAACAGTTCAAGGCTGCGGTGATCGTGAGCATGCCACATTCCAGCCTGGGCGACAAGAGTGAGACTCCAACTCAAAAAAAAAGAAGAAAGAAAGAAAAGAAAACCACAAAAAAAAAGCTGGGCATGGTGGCTCACACCTGTAAAACTAGCACTCTGGGAGGTGAAGTGAGAAGATTGCCTGAGCCCATGGATTCGAGACCAGTCTGAGCAACATTAAGACCTCGTCTCTATAATAAATTTTTAAAGAATTAGCTGGACGTTGTGACACATGCCCGTAGTTCCAACTACTTGGGAGGCTGAAGCAGAAGGCTCACCTAAGCCCAGCAGGTTGAGACTGCAGTGGCCGTGAGCATGTTACTGCACTCCAGTCTGGGTTAAAGAGTGAGGCTCTGACTTTAAAAAAAAAAAAAAGGGAAGATAAAGAAAACCACAAAAATCATTTTTGGCATACTATTAATATTAGTAATGCTAAATTACTAAAAAAATCACGAGAGGCCAAACCCTGCTTCATGATATATGGTTAAGCTAGAAAGAAATAACAAAAACAATCAGGACTGTGGTCATCTCTGGGTGCAGAAGGTAGATAAGATCAGATGGTGAGTCCATAGAGGGTTATATTCTTACTTTTTTTTTTTTTTGAGTTGGAGTCTCACTCTGTCGCCCAGACTGGAGTGCAGAGG